TTAGATTCCAATGAACTGTTAGTGTATTGATAGAGGTCCAAATAATAAAGATTTTATTATAAAAGGAATCTAAAATTATAATTATTTATTTTAAAGTCTAAAAAGTTGTATAATTTTATCAGTGGAATGATTACAGTAAGAAGAAATGAACAAAAATAAAGTAACCTCTAATTTTTAAAATTGAGAGTTATTCACCATTTTTTAAAGTATTTTTTGTTTTAGGCTGTGACACAGTGCCTACTAAAAGTGGTTGAAAAAAGTAGGTGGATAAGTATGGAAGTGAATAGTTAGAGGAATTGTTAATTGTGTAGTCTAAGGAACATCAGAGCCCTTTGACACCTGCTCTAAACTACTTTATGCTTTCTATCCAGGATTATAAGATGGTTGCCATGATTCTAAATGGGTTCTCACACAAATCTCTAAAAATGAAAGGAAGTGTGAATTGTTTTTCTAAAAATGGGTGTGCTTTTTAATTATATAAAACTTTTATCAAGACCTTGTAGGATGCTTTTGGCTAAGATACATTTGGCTAGGATACATTGGCTAAAACTGGATTACTTGATCACTCCTAAATTACCATCAAAAGAAAGTAAAATTACCATAATTAGTTTTGATCAATCATGACCCATCTCTTAGGACTGGACACTTTCTTCCTGGTACTAGAAAACAATTGTGTCACTTGAAGCAAGGAAGAGGAGGTTGTTGAGTAGAATAGCAAACAGTACTTGCTGTACACCATCTTATGAAGTTTTGGTCTTGGAGAAATGTGGCAAGAGATTGCTATTTTAACTATATTTTATGATATATGTTAATCTTCTTAAGTTAATAACGAATAGGGAAATAGCTCTTCCAATATATTATAATGCAGCATCCCAAGATTGATTAGTGCTTCTTTATATTATAGTTTTCTAAAACAACAATTTTCTGATAGTCTGATTTTTATCTTATAAATAGCTGTTAAACATTTTTTGTAGGAATAAACAGCTGGGTAGCAGCATAATATCTACTGTAAAAATCAGAAATGAATAATGGCCTTAGAACAAAATGCTTACATCAAGGTAAAACATACAAATTCTGTATCAATTTGTATTGGGGAAAAGGTACAAATGTCTAAAAAACAGTGAATAACTGTGTTAAATAAATTTCCCAGTGGATTGGTATTGTGTCATTTGACTCATCTAAAAGAGTGACTGTTACTAGGCAATAAGACTATAATGTGGAATCTTTCCTTTGCTAGTACCATAGATAGGCAGACGATAATACAGTGGACCCTTGACTTACAAACTTGATCTGTTCCTGAGGGCTGGTTGCAACTCAGTTTGATTGTAAGTCAGTACAGCTGAGATCTGAATCTTTGCCTGGGTATACATTATAGATAAGAGGCAAATGAATCTTCCATAACCTAATTAACCCAAATTGTTCGTATGTCAGGCTGGTTGTAACTTGAGGGTCCACTGTATCTGAATTTATATCACTAAATATTCAGTTATAAACAGATTTGACAATTAGCAAAATATGTACTTACTCAAAATAGTTTTCAGCAGTTGCATTTAGGGAAAATTATCTAGAAAAGACAATCAGTATTATAAATAGTATTATAAATGGCCTTTGGAATTCAAATTAGCAGTATAAATGACATTACATTTAATTTGTGAAATTATTTTGTTAGTAAAAATTTTATAAGTGCTAATGCACATTTTTTCCTTCATGTTAAAATCATTATAATATTTTAGAAACAAAAAGTTCTTTGGAGGGCCTATACTCCACTAATTATAATTACAAATGTGTTTTTATGGATTTTAAATATATTTAGCCTAATAAAATTGAACTAATGTTTATTCTGAAGCTTTCTCTAAAGTTTGAGCACTTGTTTTCTTTTTAACAACGATATAAAGTTTTAAATTAAGGATAAGGTAGCCATTTTGATGAGGAGAATTCTGCTTACTGAGGAATTATGAAATGTTTTAGAAGTTGCTAATGTCTTTAGTAGATATTAACTTCAACCTTGGCAGAACTCCAAAAATACAATTGTTGTTTATAATGGAAAATGATCACAATATTATGTTTTTATTGCTTATGTTTTTCATAGTGCTAGGCATTTTATCAAATTATTATGTTGAAAACAGCAAAACTTAATTTTTTTGTGAATGTAGAACATATTCTTTAAAAATTTCTTTCCCGCCGATGTAGTGGCACATGTCTCTAATCCTAGCACTTGTGAGGATGAGGCAGGAGGATCACCACGAGTTCAAGGCTAGCCTGGGCTACATAGTGAATTGAAGGTCAGCCTGAACTACAAAGCGAGACTATGCACAAAAAAAAAAAGAAAAGAAAAGAATTTCTTTCTTTATATTTACACATTTAATTAAATATTTTGATTTATATTTTCTAGATTTCCACCAGTGGTTAATGCATTGTATTTGTTCTGTAAAACTCTTTCACTGAATGTAACAGAGAGCCACTGAGTAGTAGATCAGTTGCTTTGCTAAATTTCTATGGTATCGTGTGTTATCTGTAAAGTGTAATTAATAATTCTGTCATTTCTTAGTTTAATCTTTAGGTTGTCACCTACTTTTAAATTTTATTGGTTTTCAAAATAATGAAAGTGAATACAGAGTATGAACAATTCTGTAGAAATTATGCAAATTACATTTAATATTTTAGCATTGTTAATGGCAGTGGCGCTGTTGTGTGTTTATGTGGCCATCATGGGAATGCAGAAAAACTAGGTACACATGTTTTTAAATCACTCGTTGAACTGTGGAAAGTTGTATAATAGTTTAAATTTGATTTAATATTTTATATTTGATTAAGCTTTTAGAGTTTATAAAATACTTTTCACATAAGTTAGCTTTATTGTCTTCTGGCTCTCTCATGAGAGGTAAGGCAGATGAATTCATTTTAATGGTTTGGGGATCTGAAGGATTAAGTGACTTGCCTAATCTCCTAAGTAATTCATACAGGACTAGAACTTGGGTGTTTTCCTGGATCTGAAAAATACTGCTGTAATGTTAATGATAGCAGTTCTTTTTATATTATATTTCATGAAGTATATTTGATTGTATCAAAATATATGGCATTTTATTTCTTAACATTTGAATTTTTTTCTTTGTCACATTTTTTTCTGTATTTATTAATTTTAATAAGACACTTCATTTTTTTCACTACACCCAAACTTTTGAATTTATACTCCATTGTTTTATCATGGCCTAATTATTTTTTGTGTTTTCTACAAATCATTTTAATATTTTCAAACATCCTTTGCATGTACAAAGCATATATCCATCAAGCATTTTTTCAGGGTTTGGAGTATTGCCATAGACTTTACCAGTTGAGCATCCTAACCTGCACAGCTGAAGTCTAAAAATGTTTTAAAATACAAAACTTTTGAGTATCGACCTGATACTCAAAAAGTTTGGGGATTTTGGAAATTAAGTTGGGATTTTCAGATTGGGGATGCTTAACCTATACTGTACAGCAAAAGATTGTTGATAAATAAATGCAAGGTAAATTGTGTGTATTATGGGTGCATGGAGTAATAGAGTGATGAATGTGGCTGGGTTACGGAATAATTCTTTTTTTTTTCTTAAATTCTTTTATTGGTACATTTTAGGTATACAATACATTTACATTTATCATTTGGTGCTTGTACCTGTACATGATGTATGTTGGTTCTTATTTTTTCTCCATTACCTGTGTGCCCTTCACCCCCTCCACCTTTCCCTGTTTACATAGACTTTGTTTCCATTTTTTTTTCTTTTCTCATAATTTTTCCTTTCCCTTCTTTCCTTTCCCCTTAATTCTTGAATGTGAAATTTAAACTTTTTCTTCGAATACATTGCTAACATATGTGGTCATGTTTGGGAATGGGGTAATGGTAGTATTATGGGAAGTGGAAAGAAAAAAACAGTAAAAACATGATTTGTTATAAATTGTGGAGATTGGTGTTGATAAATTTAGTGTTAGTGATACTATGTTGAAAAGTTGGTAGAGATGAGAGCAGAGGTTTAGGAAACTTGGGAATTTGGTTAGTGATAGAAAAAGGAAGATTTTCCAGAAGTGGGATTTAGATTTGATTGAAAGAAATGCTACTGTTAGTTCTTGAACAATCAATTAGCAGATGTTTACTTACGAGAACCTATCAAGTACAAGACACTGGAACTGGTATTGAGCAATAAGGCAACTAAATGAAAATAGTGGCTCTGTGGGGGAGAAGTTCTTGGTGCAGGCAGATTGAATGGGAAGCTGGTGTATCAATCAGTATAATGATGGACTAAGAATGTTTACTCTAGTAGTAACTTTGGAAATGGGGATTCAGTAGATTAATAGACCTTAATTCTAAAGCAATATATAGAAGGAACAAATATAGAAAGTTCCTGTTAGATATGATGTGATAAACTAACTTGATATTTTCATGTTTTTCCCACTTACTTAAACGTATTTCACATTACCAAGTCAAATATTCCTCAATAATAATCATCATTGGTTACTACCATTGTTGAGCCTTTATAGTTCCCATTCATTGTGCCAGGTTCTTTGAACAAAATACTTTGTTTAATTTTCAAAATCTGGTATTAGGTGGCATTATCATGATATAGATGCATAACTTAGATCTCAGAGAGAATAAATAGTCTTTAAGTTTACACCGCTAACTAGTCATAGGGTCAATGTTTGAACACAGATCTGTTAATTCTGAAGACTGTGCTATGTTGATTTGCTTCTAAAAAGCAGTTCCCATGTCTTCCTTAAATCCTCAAAAATGCACGTGTGTCACGATCTCCTTAACTCTGAAATATTTATTTTTGAAATATGTTTCCTATTGTATTGAAACCTTAAGAGATCCATGTTTAATGTCTGAGTCATATATGGCAAACTATGCACTAAACTTTACAAGATAAAAGAAAGTTATAAAATTGGCATGAAAAATTAAAGCAGTATAACAAGTTTAACAGTGTGGAATTGTCAAAACCATAATATTGATTATTATAATAATTTATTAGTCAGAATTTTCAGGAAGATATTGAAGAAACTGGTGCACTGCAGAAAAACCATGCTTCTGTGACATCTGCAAATTTCTCAGAAGCTGCAGATCCTAACTGCCTGCCTACAGAAGATGAATCATTAAGCACTCTGAGCTGTGAGGTGCCTGCAGAACAAACAAGCAGTGAAACAGAGATTGCCCTAGAAGTAAATGATGCTGAAGAGACAGGGGAGAAAGGAAGCTATAGTGATGATAAAACTTCAGAAGAGGAAACAAGTGAAAATGTGTCTACAGCAGAGGACACTACAGAGCAACCAAAGAAAAATAGGATTGCTTACTCTCAGATTATTAAAGAAGGCAGGAGATTTAATATTGATTTAGTATCAAAAGTAAGTACCAATTTTAACCAATTTAATGTAGAACAACATTAACTTCTAACTGATTGAAAATAGTATCCTCCCCTATAAATCCTAGATCCTGGGTTCAAGCCCAGGAGTTTGAGGACAGTTGAAATATATGCCTTTTCTCTATTCTAATAATTGAAGTTTTTGCATAAAAGTTCAGGATGATTGCCATGTATCTATTTTAAGTCCTATCTCTTTCCTAAAGTCACCTGATATCTCCTTACTATTTGATGTTTCAACATGTATTGCATCTTAAAGTCATCATGGTATAATTAATAAGTATAGTAGGGCTTTATGGTATACAAAACACATCTATGTATATAGCCTTTTTTTGTGTGTGTGGTACTGAGGATTGAATCCAGGGCTTTTGTACTGAACTATATCCCCAGCTATTTTTACTGTATTTTATTTATTATTTTTTTAAATTTTCTTTTGAAACAGGGTTTCCCTAAGTTGCCAAGGCTGGGCTTGGGCCTTCGGTTCTCTTGCCTCAGCCTCTCAGAATGCTGGTATTACTGTTTAACTAAAATCTATATATTATACTGTTCAGACTAAAAAAAATTAAAAGATTAAATTCTTATAATAACTTATTTTAAAGTCAGTCTATATCCTATAAATATTTATGGAGACACCATGCAAAGTAAAGCAAAAATTGTTAGTGATTATAGATAATTCCCATTTTTTAATCAAACTGAAGTGTTCCTTAGCCTGTCATCACTGTGAAATTGCTATGGTAGATCAAAAAGAGGGTGGTGAAAAAGACTCTTATGTTTAAATATACATTTGTTAGTTCTGAACTTCAATAGTTTTGAAATTATGGCTATTGGGGGATACTTATATCTCAAATGTTTGTTTTTGCACAAATATGAATTTCTTAAGTACCTGTTTATTTTATAATTAAGACTTGGCAATGTAGTATAAAAATAAGCTGTATCAGTTGTGTAGTGTGTAAGATAATGAAGTAATATGTCATATTTAGGGTGATCAGATTGGTTTTAAAAAATTGGCAATTTTGTTCTGCACAATGCTGAACTGAAATAAGATCTTGTAGAGTATCACTTAACTGACACTGATTAAAAATCTTTACTGTCTTCTTCGATCCACAGACTATTTTTTTTTTATTTGATTTTTGAGATTCCCTTTCTTTTTCTATAGAACATTTATTTTCTGTAACATTTATATTAACATTTATTGAGTTATGCACATTATGTAAAGGTATGTTGATTATAGAAAATAGACAAGTCTATTGCATTTAATAATATGGTTAAATTTAAAACAAGCTAGATAATTCTGTTTAAATTATTGTTTTTGTCTTTCTGATAGTTATGGGAAATATTGAGAGATTAATCAAATTTCCATATACATGCTGACATTAATAATCCTTATTTCTTAAAGACATACCTCGGGCTGGGGATTTAGCTCACTGGCACCGCACCTGCCTGGCAAGCACAAGGTCCTTAGTTTGATTCTCGGTACAAAAAAAAAAAGAAAGGGAGGAAGAAAGAAAGACTGACCTCACATAAACCTAGACATCTAGGATTACTAAAGAATCTTATAATTTGACTCAGTGGAAAAGCACCACATGTCTTCTTTTTTTGGTGTAGTGGGTTGGTCTACTGGTTGACTTCTTTTAGCCACCTGGCTTTATATTGATCTGTAGTCCCTCATTCAAAACTCTTAGCTCCTGGTATGTTCTATCATTGAGCTTTTTTTAAAAAAAATTTTTTTAGATAGTAATACACTGCATGTGCTGATATGAGGAGCTAGTCTGTAACTTAACAGATCTCAGAAGAAACTCTAAACACATTAACATTACTTCAGTGAAATGAATATTCATATTTATTGGAACAAGGATAGAAGGCCCTTAAATCAGTTTGGATCAGGTTTTCTGGCCAAAGTAGTTATGAAAAAAGATTTGTATATTGTAGTGGTTTTGGGATTTTGAATTTAAGATAGTGAATTGTGAACCCATAATAAATTGTGTTATGTATAATATTTATAGGTACAGTGCTTTTCGTCATTAATTTTAAATCTAACAAGTATGGATATTTAATAGTGTTCATCATTTTTTCCATTATTTTGCCTTTTATCCTCTAAAATGTTTTCTTTTTACAGTTACTATATTCTCGGGGTTTGCTAATTGATCTTCTAATCAAATCTAATGTTAGTCGATATGCAGAGTTTAAAAATATTACCAGGATTCTTGCATTTCGAGAAGGAAGAGTGGAACAGGTACTGTGCTGATCACATATCATAAATGGCTATTAGTTTAAGTTTTTATGGTTCATTTGGAAAGGATAAACAAATAAAATTGTCATTTTTTAGTAAGGCAATTAATTCCAATCTTGCATAGTGGTTTACAAATGTAAATGGTAAGATTTGCTAAATTTAAATTTCTAATGACTATTTTTATGAATTACAATAGTACCTCGGTTCATGAATATTTCTGTTCACAAGCAATTCAATTTGCAAACAGAAGTGTTGGGGAGAATTTTGCTTCTGTTCAAGAACTCCACATTAGGTGATTCACACAACGTTGGCCATCTTCCCTGCGTGGATACCAACACAGCTATCCTTAGACTAGTGGAATGAATTAAATTTGTAAACCGAAGTACTACTGTATTTGATCTCACTACTAGATTTGAACTGTCATTCGTTCTCAGTTAATGGCGATATGCCATTGGCCTTTTAATGGTAAAAAGAACAACTTAGGAGAATTAAGAATGCTCAATAAACCCTGATGTTAACAGAGATGATATTAGAACTGATGGAATTTAACATGCAGCAGCTAGACTAAAAAGGAAGTAATAATCCTATTAAACATAAAGAGTAAAATGTAATTTGAAATACCTGTGTCCCTAGGAAGCAGTTTTTAAACTGAAAAGTCATATTTTTTAGGTTCCTTGTTCCAGAGCAGATGTCTTTAATAACAAACAACTCACTGTGATAGAAAAACGAATGCTAATGAAATTTCTTACATTTTGTATGGAATATGAGAAACATCCTGATGAATATAAAGGTATTGTTGTTCAATAAATTGTATTCTCCAATTATTTGAGCTTTTATGTACTTGCTGTGATTTAGTGAGTCACATTACTGTTTCAAAATGCATCATAAAGTTTTTTGTCATGAAATTATTTCCTACCAGTAATTGTATAATCACATCACTTTTGTTCTTGATTTTAAAGAATAGTTTGTAGGGGTCCCTTATGTTTTTATGTGTGATTATATGGTAGTGTGACTAATTCCAGTAGCCACAGAAAAATTAGTTTAATTGATTTTTAGTCCATTTATTATTGTAAGTTTTAGTAAGGAGTATACATTTAATGAAAGTAAAATGTTCTATCATTTTCACCAATAGAATTCCAATTTGTCATATTTAATATTTTCAAATGCAATTATTGGCATTATTTTGAAGTTTATTAAAGAGATTGTTGAAATTATTGCCAGCCCACTGAATTATTTAATGACTTTCTATTTTTTTAAATTTGTAAAACACTAAGCAATGATTCATCATTTAAAGCTTAAAATTATATCAGTCTAATTAGATTAGTGAATTTATTACATGTTTTTCCTGTTGAGATCATCAGTCACTGTTCAAAATGTAATAACAATTATACCACCTATGTGTTTTATGCAGTCTTTTAAACAGACTTGATTAAATTTGTGTGGGATGGTTTGAAAGTTTAGTTCTGATTTAATTCCTATATTTTCATCTTTCTTTTCGTAGCCTATGAGAAAATAACATTTTCTGAATTTTTAAAAACTCAAAAACTAACACCCAACCTCCAGTATTTTGTGCTGCATTCAATTGCAATGACATCAGAAACAACCAGCAGTACGATAGATGGTCTCAAAGCTACCAAAAACTTTCTTCACTGTCTTGGACGATATGGAAACACTCCTTTTTTGTTTCCTTTGTATGGTCAAGGAGAACTCCCCCAGTGTTTTTGCAGGTAAGTTTCACATTAGTTTTCTGATCTTTTCTTAAAAAGATACTTGAATGACATGAAAGTTACAACAACAACAAAAATAAAGATTTATTCAGGATGTATTATTTGCAATCATATACTTTATTCTACTTTTTATAATCTGTTAATTTCTTACCTATTTATCTAAGTGATTTATTCAGTTTGAACTGCTTGTGAGCTTTATAAAACATCCTGAATTTCATTTTTCCATCTACATTATGTTTTGAAGCATCATTCTTATGTATAATTGTATTTATTGATACAGTGTTTCATTGAGAATATATCACAGTCGTTTCCCATTTTTCTATCAGTGAACATAGGATGTTTCTAGATTTTTACTATTAGCATCTTTGCTGATGTTTCAGCATATATATATATATATATATATATATATATATATATATTTAAGAGTTTCTCTAGGATATATATATATATCTAGGAATGGAATTCTTTAATCATGGAATATATGATTGTTTAACATTTAATACCATAGTGCCCAAATGTTTCTCCAGACATTTGTACCTGTTACAGCCTACTAACAGTGTATAAGAATTTCCATAGCTCTAGATATTTGATGCCATTTTACGTTTGTCAGTCTAACTTACATAAAATATCATTGCATTGTATTTTATTTCTTGTATTGCCCTCACTACCGATGATTTTGAGCCTCTTATATATTTATTGACCATTCATGGTTTAGAACAGTGGTTAGCAAATCTATGGTATGTGTGTTTCAGTGAGCTATAGGTGTCATAGAAAGTTCTAAAAGCTTTGCCATCACTGGACCATTTTTTTATTTGGTTGTTGTCTTTCCTTATTGATTTGTAGCAGTATTAAAATATATTCTAAATACTAATCTTTTATTTTTATGTATTGAATATATTTTGTCTTATGTATTTATGGTACATGGAGATCATTAAAATTGATCTAGTCAAATATAGCAAGCTTTGCTTTTATCCTCGACCTTTTTTGGTAAGGTAAGAGATGCATAGTAGTTACAAAAACTGGACTATGGAGACAAGCTACCAGGATTGAAGGCTTTTTCATTTGTTAGCCATGTAGCCTTGAATAAATTATAAATTCTATTATGTTTTACAGGAATCAAATTTGGGTTTTTAAAATAGTTTTTCTCTATTTTATAGCTTTGTATCAGGGTTTATTAATTTCTGCTCTTTATTATCTCCTTTGGTTTTACTTTTAGATTTATTCAGCTTATCTCTCCCTTCCCTGTCCTTTCCTATTCTTTGGGTGAAACTCAGAGTTTAGTGTAGTTGACCATAGAACATCACTGAGGTTACAGTTGTTACATCCCCCTGGCCCCATGAAGTTTCAAAATTCTGTGTGTAACTTTGGATTCCTCCTAAACTTTCCTAGTACCCTGTGGAAGGCCTGAAATCTTATTAATGTGAACAACCAAGTAGCACATATTTTATAAGTTGTGTTACATACAGGGAAAAATATTTAAGAAATGTAATATTGCTACAATATACAATTTACTAGAAAGATGAACTGCTGAAGTGGACAATAGAGGCCCAGGTGCCCAGGTCTCAGCCAGGGCCCTGCCCAGACACCAGCATCTTGGGAACATAGGCCCCAGCCAAAGGCCCGGCTGGAAAATAGCTGCGCAAGCATGCAGGCAACAGCTAGAGGCCCACCAAGATACCATCAGTAAGTGCGTGCCAGCCCAGCCAGAAGCCCACTCAGACAACAGCAACTCGGGTACACAGTCCCCAGCCAAAGGCCCTCCCTGACAACAGCTATGTAGGTGGGCAGGCCCCAGCCAGAGGCATGCCCAGATACCATCCTAAGTGTGCATAGTCCCCAGCCAGAACTCTGCCCAGACAACAGCACAACCCAGGGATCCAGAAGGCCACCATTCTGAACCCAGGAATTGGTGCAGTGATGAACATCAGAGAGAAGGCCTCTCTGACACTTGATGAGAATTGAAGCTCACTGGGCCAGCAAAGAGTCACCTCAACAAAGGGGCATTAGGCTGCATCTGTTGAAATGAGAAGACATGTAAACAAGACTCAAAACCAGACTTCCAGATCACCTAAGGCAACCCCAAGGGGCAGTGAGATATAAACAGTCAGACACTCAACCACCTTGACTCCCTGAACTGGCAGCAAAAGAGGACCTACGAAAAATGAAATCAGAAATAATTTCTCAGATAACAACAGAGATTGTGTTCATAGTTAAACACATGATTAAAAACTCTAGAACAGACACAGAAAAAAAAATCAAGGAGCTGAGGAACATGATGGAATCCCAACATAGGAAACAAATGGAATTTCAAACCAACACCAATTAAGAGAGACAAAGAAGGCCACTACATCCTTGTAAATGGAAAATCCAAGAGGAAGAAATGACAATCATAAATATATATGCACCAAATACTAGTGAACCCAACTATATAAAACAAATATTAACGGACATAAAAAAATAAGGACCAATACAATACTAGTGGGGGACCTCAGTGCTCCACTATCTCAAATAGATAGATCAGCTAGACAAAAAATTACTACAACTCAATTAAACTTTTGAACAAATGGACTTAGCAGAAGTTTACAGTGTTCCACTTCACAAAAACAGAATACACCTTCTTTTTGGCTGCACACAGGTCGTTCTCCAAAGTACACCACATACTTGCTCATAAAACATATTTAAGTAAGTGCAAAGAAATGGAAGTTATCCTCTGTATATTATCAGACCATAGTGTGATAAAATTGGAGATTAACAGCAAAAGTAACCACAAGAATTTCATAAACACATGGAAATTAAACAACACGCTTCTAACCAACCAATGAGTCACAGAGGAAATTAAAGAAGAAGTCAGACAGTTTCTACAATTAAATGACAATGCCTAAACAACATATTGGAATCAGTGTGACACAATGAAAGCAGTGTTTTGAGGGAAGTTCATAGCAGTGAATACTCATACTGGGAAAACAGCAAGCTTAAATAAACAACCTGGTACTGAACCTCAAGCTTCTAGAAAAGGAAGAGTAGAACAAACCCAAAGCTCATACAAGGAAGGATATTATATATATCAGAGCAGAAAGCAATGCAATGGAGACTAAGAGAACGATACAAAAAAATCAGTGAAGCAAAGAGTTGTTTCTTTGAAACAATAAACAAAATTAACAAACCCTTAGTCAACCTTATCAAAAAAAGGAAAGAAAAGGCCCAAATCCATGCAATAAGGAATGAAAAGGGTGAAATTACAACAGACACAGCAGAAACCCAGAGAATCATCAGTACCTACTTTGAGAACCTATACGCCAGTAAGATGGAAAACAGAAGAAATGGACAGATTCCTAGGTACATATGAATTACCAAAGTTGAATGAAGACCTAAAAATTTTAAACAACCCAATATCAAACAATGAAATTGAAAACATAATTAAAAACTTACCAACTATGAAAAGCCTGGGTCCTGATGGTTTCACTGCTGAATTCTACAAGACATTTAGAGAGGAAGTACTGAGACTACTGTTTATACTCTTCAATGAAATTGACAGGGAGGTAATACTCCCAAATTCATTCCTGGAAGCAAGCATCACCTTGATCCCCAAAGCACAGAAAGACCCAACCAAAAAAGAGAACTATAGGCCAATCTCGTTGATGAACATAGATGCAAAAATCCTTAATAAGATACTGGCAAATAGAATGCAGAAGATCATCAAGAAGATCATACACCCTGACCAGGTGGGATTCATCCCTGGGATGCATGGGTGGTTGAACATATGCAAATCAATAAATGTTATACACTATATCAACAGAGCCAAGGACAAAAACCATATGATCATCTCAATAGATGCAGAAAAAGCGTTTGACAAAATCCAACATGCATTTATGATAAAAACCCTACAGAAAATTGGAATAGATGGTCTCTACTTCAAACTGATAGAAACCATCTATGAAAAACCAACATCCAGTATCATACTAAATGGTCAAAAACTGAAATCCTTCACTCTAAAATCAGGAACAAGACAAGGATGTCCACTATCACCACTCCTGTTCAATATAGTTTTGGAAACATTAGCCACAGCAATTAAACAAGAGAAAGAAATGAAAGGAATAAAGATAGGAAATGAAGAAGTCAAATTATCATTATTTGTAGACAACATGATACTCTATATAGAAGATCCCATGAACTCCACCAAAAGTCTTCTAGACTTAATAACCAAATTCAGTGGAGTAGCTGGATACAAGGTCAGTACAAAAATCAGCAGCTTTCCTATACATGATCAACAGACTCACTGAAAGAGGAACTGGAGAAACAACTTCCTTCACAATAGTATCCAAAAAATGAAATACCTAGGAATCAACCTAGGGAAAGAAATCAAAGACTTCTACTTTCAAAACTGTATCACTCTAAAAAAAGAGATGGAAGAGGGTGTCAGAAAATGGAAGGACATCCCTTGCTCCTGGGTAGAAAAAACCAATATAGTGAAAATGGCCATACTTCCAAAAGGGCTATATAAATTCAATGCAACCCCAATTGAAATTCCAAAAGTATACTTCACAGGCCTTGGGAAAACAATCCAAAAATTCATTTGGAACCAGAAGACACCTAGAATAGCAAAACCAATTGTAGGCAAAAAAGACAAGATAGGGGATATCAAAATCACCAACTTGAAACTATACTACAAAGCTACTGTGATTAAAAACAGCATGGTACTGACAAAGAAACATACCCAAGTATTAGTGGAACCAATTAGAAGATGCATAAATAACTCCAGACATACCCATCCACCTTATCTTTGACGAAGGAGCCAAACACCCTCACTGGAAGGAAGATAGGCTCTTTAATAAATGGTGCTGGAAACATTATGTTTCAACTTGCTGAAGATTAAGATTAGACCTATATCTCTTACCATGTACTACACTAAAATAGAAATGGATTAAAGATCTAAATATTAAAACAGAAACACTAAACCAGGTGGAAGAGAGGTTAGGTAGAACTCTTGAAGACATTGGTGT